TCAGAGTGCAGGAGCACAGACAGGAGCATTTCTCTCTGTGCCCAGGATGATGTGACCCTTTTGTGGGTATTTATAGAGATCTGAGGGGGGGGGGAGGAGAGTTGCTGGTTGCTTCCAGCGGGAGCCAAACCCAAGGGAGGAATGTGGGTTGGGGGGGGACTAGGGGAAGGAGAGAGTGGGGAGGGAATAGAGGGGAATCTCGAGAGTTATTCCATCTGGAGCAGAATTAATTATGCTGTTCTTGTAATACTCCATTCTTGTGGTATCCTTCATTCACACAACATAGGCTGGCTTTCTTTCCTTTATGATACGGCCCTCCTCTTGGTGGGAAAAAGGCTCAGAAATGACCTTGAATTTAATGGCAGGTGACCCACTGGGTGTTTACTTTCCTGTTTGTTAAACTGCAGCTTGTGAAATCCGGCTTCTGTGCAAAGTTTACCTTTCATCGAGACCTTAAAGATTTAATCACTGGCTGAGTTGCCAGAGACACAGCAGCAGAGGAAGAGAGAGCGAGGCTTCCCTGCCTTGAACATGGCTGTTTTCAGCTGGCTGGTCATTCTTTCCCTGCTATTCCTCTGGTTCTGGAAGAGCAGACGTCCCAAAGGTTTCCCTCCGGGGCCTTGGCACCTGCCCCTGATTGGGAATCTGCTTCAGGTCAGGATGGGGAACCCTCTGAAGGACTTGGATCAGGTAAGGGATCTTCTGCAAAATCACATTGGATTCCGTGGAATGAATCTGCAGAAAAGGAAAGACGTTTTGCTGCAGTTTTTTAAGCAGGCTGGTTGAGCAACGATGTGTCTGTTAATGTTTGTGCATGTGATTGAAAATATATTCTGCAGAGGATTTAGGGGAGATGTTGAGACTGCTATGGAGCTGTTGAAATTCCAGGAATGTAGGGATCTATATTTGATTCCTAAGAATGGGATGTGCATCTGATTGATAGCAATCCTACACCCTAATGGAATTGGGCTGCTTCCAAGAGATTCTTCAGAACTTATTTGCATTGCATGATTAGTTTATGAATCAGTTTGGGCTGAATGCCAAGAGTCAGCTCTGCCACTCAGCAAGCAACATTTGGAATTTCTTATGACGCAACCAGAAGTCTGATTAGATCATCTTAAAACCCTCCAAATGTTTTGGAGAGACGAGGAAAGGCCATGCAACTGCTAAAAATCAGTGTTTTTGCTTTCTTAAAAATATTACACAAGTTTTGTCCCTTTGATACGAAAGTTCTACTATGTAATTAGGGGGATATTAAGCTGTTTGTTTTTAAACAAACACCCACCTGTAGCAATTCCTCTGGTATAAAATGCCCATCTTGGCATCTTTGAAGTTGGGCAGGCTTTCACGATGAGGGTCTTGATTAAAGGCTTGAGTAATAAGGGGATATTTGTTGTAGATTGCCCTTTGTCTTTGCGCCAAGGAGCTGTTTGGACTCTCAGAAATGGTGAGAGAGAAGGAAACGATGTTGTCCCTGTGTGTTTCTGGCCTGTTGTTAGCAAAATGAGGACAAGGGCCTCCCATGCATCTTTCTTTGAGCTGAATTAAATTTTACACACTTCTGCTTGCCACTTGACGGAATAGCATCTGGTATTGCCCAACCTTATCATCATCATCGTCATCTTTCACTCAGCTACCAAAAGAGATGTTGGAAGCTGAAATAGCAAAAATTAAAAGACTCTTTAGACTATGAAGTGAAATCATGTTGTAAAAAAATATTAAAATGAGGCTGCTGGAAAACCATGCCCGAATAGGAAGGGGGTAAGGGCTGAACGGTTTGGGGAATCAAGTATGATGGAGCTACAGGGAGTCGTTCAACCTCATCCTTGAAGATGTTCTGTCATCTCTTTGCAGTGATTGGTTCTGAGTGATCTCCTAATGCTTCTAAGCTCATCCTGTTATTTCATTTCAGTTAGCAAGAAAATATGGTTCTGTCTTCTCTCTTTATGTTGGAAGCAAACCTGTAGTCTTCACTCATGGATTTCCTTCAGCAAAAGAGGTCCTCGTGATAAAAGGCACAGAATTTGCTGGGAGGGCAAGCTTTTATATTATGGATGTAATCAGTAAGAAAAAAGGTAACGATATATTTCCCAAGCATTTTAATGCCTCTGAAAGTTATTTCTTATCTAATGATCTCTCTCTTTTTTCCTCTGAATGCTTGAGTGCTGGACCAGAATTTCAAGTAAGAGAAAGAGTGATCTGTTGACATTTTAGAATTAGTTAACTAGAAGCAAGACCCAAATGAGTGTTTGTTGCTAATTTGTAGTCTTTTACTTTACAGGCATATTCTCGCTACCTTACAGTGAAGTGTGGAAGGAGCAAAGGAGATTTTCAGTGATGCTTTTCAGAAACTTTGGAGTGGGCAAAAATGTGATGGAAGAAAAGATCTTGGAGGAGGCAACCTATTTGATTGAGGCGTTTACTGAAAAGACGAGTAAGTTCTCCGGGGACAGGATGGGATGGCTGGGGAATCGTCACTTCAATGTTGCTTCTTTTTCCATAGGACACAATTCAGTTGACCTTCAAGTTGACCAATGAGTGGATGTATTGAAACAGAGCGGGAGCAGCTCAGAATTCTGGTTGCCCTAAATTCCAAGCCCCAGTGACCGAAATGAGACACACGCTTCATTTTGTCTCTGTGCTTGTCATGCTGGTAAAGCAAGAGTCCTGTCACTTTCTTGGCTGGAAGCTACCAATTAGAATTCTGAGAATGCTTTTGGATCTCCATAGAAAACTGGGGAGAAGGTGGGAGAGTCATCCTATATAAAATGGCCAGCCTAGGAAACATAGCTAGTCGCCAACCTCTGTTTTCATGGAACGCTCTTTGCCACCCTTCACTGGGCCTACCTCCCACCATGCTCTCTACTGTGATGTCCTGGTAACCTTCCGCAGTATGGTGATCTCCAGAAGCATTGGACCATCATCCTCGGTGTCAATGCAATGTGTGCTGTGGTATGTGTGTGCGCGCGCACAATGGAATTAAGTCTAAAACAGCAACTCAGCTAAGAATCCATATTCTGCTGTTCCTGATGGAAAGTGGAATTTCTGAGGTCTGCTCAGCTTTTGAACCACTGAAGACCAGTCAGATCTGGCTGAGGAACAATCTGCTCCATTGTGTAGAAACAGTCGTATGCATTCCCTGCTTTCTTCAGTGTAAGAAGCCTTTCTCTTAATTTTGTTCTTATTCCTTTATATATTCAGTGTGTGTGTGTACACACACACAAATAGACATATATACATACATACAGTATGTGTATATGTGTATGTATGTACGTATGTTGTGGTCAGATAAACTTTGTCCTGGATTTCAGCGAGAGTTCACTTATTACAAGAAGACTGAGAATAGCAGATGCTGTTTCATCCTGGGGACTCTGCTAGCGCAAATTCTTTGTGAGAACTGGACATCATAACGCACTTATTTTCTTCCAATGATGCCTCTGGAACTAGCAAAGCTGCTTAGGGGATAGCATATTGAGGGAAAAATACAGGCGGATGGATCTATAATGATCTATTTTCTTTTGTTTTATTCTGCAGGTCTGCCTTTTGATCCTTATGAGTTCATTGACGGTGCCGTCACCAACATACTTTCTACCATACTATTTGGGAAACGTTTTGAATACGACAGCAGCTTCCTCAGAACCCTGCTGGACCTGATACATCAAAACATCAAACTTCCAGCAGGACCGTGGGCCTTGGTATCCTTAACAGGAGTCCAGAAAAGTGTTCAAAATTAAAGCACAGCGAGTGGGAATTTGAATTTCAATGTCCCCAGGGTTACCATTAGGAGACCTTGAACGTGAAATATCTCACGCCTTTTGGAAATTGATTTTCCTTACAAACCATCTCATGAGACTGTCAGGAAAAGTGGGTGAAGGCTCTTTGTGAGTGGTCCAAACAGCAGTTCTCCAAATTTAATTGAGTATAACACTTCTATACTGAAATTTCAGCTTTTGGGGACATTTGACTCCCTATCCAATTGTGAATAAGAGATATTTGCAGGAACCCCTTGCACTGAAAAGGATTTTCTTTCTTCTCTCAATATATCCTACAAAGAAGCCTCCATCATGATCAAATTAATCAATGTTGGCTTTTCTTCTGTTTGCTGGCAGCTTTACAATGCGGTGCCCTTAGTGAGGAGGCTTCCACTGCCCCATCAGAAAATACTAACAAATGCCAGTAAGATCTTTGCTTTGCTTGAAAAAGAACTGGATGAACACAAGGCAACTTTGATTCCTGGAGAACCCCGGGATTTCACTGATGCCTATTTAGAAGAAATACAGAAGGTAGATTTCTTAGTCTCTTCTTTTTCATTTTACACCGTTACATATGTATATATATTTATCTTGTATCTGTTTCTGCTACATTACATTTTGTACGAGTACAAGGTTCTTCTGGTGAATGACTGTAATTTAGTCTGGCATTTAAAATATCACAGAAATATCTTTTTTTGGTCAAAGAAGTTTTCTGACCAAACTGACTTTTTCGCAACTTGAGCAAATTAGACTTTTGTCCGAGGAGAAGGAACATATTAGCAAGTAGTCTGGGCCTTGCTATGGGCCTTTGGCTAGCTTGTTCTGTAAACACAGCCAACCCAACATTCCACATTGAAACCAAGCCCTATGAATCCAAATTTCAGACCTTCTTTAGCTATAAAGGCAAGATTAACCCATTGCAAGAAAGCCAAAGCCAGCAGCCCGCATTGCCCATTTTATATCGTATCAACCTACTCACGGATATTTTTCAAGACCCAAAGCAGCTGTGTTTCACCAGGCAATTCTTCACTTGTCTATTGCTCTTGCAGCAGCTCTCTTCTGCTGGTTGAGCTCACAAATCAAATCAAATCAAATCAAATCAAATCAAATCAAATCAAATCAAATCAAATCAAATCAAATCAAATCAAATCAAATCAAATCAAATCAAATCAAATCAAATCAAATCAAATCAAATCAAATCAAATCAAATCAAATCAAATCAAATCAAATCAAATCAAATCAAATCAGTTTATTGCAGCCATAAGGCCAGACACAATAATATCCTACTATCCAATAGTAGGACTGTTTTGTACATCTAGATGTATAACAGAAAAAGTATGAGTATAATAAGATCTAAAAATAAATCACAACATGTATAATAAAATAAAAGAAATTAAAAATAATATGATAAAAAGGAAAACATAAAGAAGTATCCAAACTTAGTTAATGGTGTGACATATTGTACAGATGGGAGCACAAAACTGGGCAACTTGGGAGGGGATTTTTGAGTCCTTGTCCAAAAGAAGTAACAGTAAGTAGAAATCCCACTCCCTGCCTGGAAATTTCTTCACGATCAGATAAATGAAGATCTGTCTAGCGTCCTTACAGAGCAGTGTTTCTCCAACTTGGCAACTTTAAGACGGGTAGACTTCAACTCCCAC